TGCCAGTAATAATAAACTATATATTTTAAGCTTAAACAATAGATCTATTTTGTATATTAGCTTCTAAGTTTTTTCTCAGAAATGAAACCTAAAAGATCTCTCCCCTTAAGCATACAAAAGGCCAATAATAATCACATATGTGTTTTAAATTAAACCAAATAAATCACTTTTACAGGTATAAATCGTCTTAAAGTCCTGGTTAGAGAAAGAAAATTCAGTATTAACAATTCAAGATCAAAACATGGACAATTTAACCTTGATTTGATAAGTCCACTTTAAATTCCTTTCTCTTGTTTTTGAAAAGCTGAGTCTTCAGTCTCTTCTCCAAATAAAACCCCAAATAACAATCTCTTATTCTTTTCCTATCTATTTTCAGAAAAGGTTTCAGAGATTTGGTATTTCACTTCTTTATAGCCAGGAGTCAAGCTTGACTGGAGACTTTCCGCAGGCGCTAGCGCAAACCTAGCAGGGCCAGGACAGCGCTAAGGGCCAGAGTGCAGCAGAAGTGTCCATGCGGCAAGGACAACTTCCAGCACCCACATTGGCTGCAACTGACCCTACAAATGAGAACGCGCCAGCGGGCTGTCAGCTCGCATCGTCCCCGGGGACTTGGCTTTATTCGCCCAGGGTTGAGCTTTAAAGCCAAGTTGGAGAGCGACTCCTTGCTGCTTTTCCCCCTCAGCCTCCCCTTTGCAAAACCTGCCACCACCTGGGGGATTGGGTGCAACAGCAGAGCTTCTAGCGAGTGGCCCCTTGGATAGGGGTGTTCTGAGCTGCGCCCCAATTTCTCCAAAGTGCCTGTCAGTTTCCAGGCTTCCTCTCCTTCAGCCCGACTCAGAGGAGGACGGCAGCAACGGCAGGGGAGCGATTTCCCCTCCTGGTGATCTGACCGCTGGTTCCTGCAGAACTCAGTGAAAGCTTTGATCGAAGGCAGAGGTGTGCCTGCCTGCATGTCTTTTAAATCTCCCATTCAGGAAAGAACTTCAAAACCCCAAGGACTCCACAGAACTTTGAAACTTTGTGCAACTGTCACACAAAGATCTGCAGCTTAGAAGAAGTGGGGAGAAATCACCTTTCAGTCTGCAATATATCTCGAGCATCCTGGTGATCTGCAGTTGTTCACGCAAGTGTTTCCTGGGGTGGTGTATCTGTATTTGCTGAGTATTTTAGGAAGCACTCCCAGTCATCTGCACAAAATCCTTGTATAGTAGGAGGGTCTCCTGGCCCAGAGTCTGCATACTCAATTTCCAAGTCCAGTAAACCCTCTGGAGCCTATTTGTTTCCACTAAAGATTTCTTTATTGAGAAGCAGCATACAGCACTCCATAAGTTGTTAAGACTAACCTTCCCTGGCCACAGCTCTCCTTTTAACCCCCCTCTATTCTAATTTTCCCGCTCGATTCCTACGCACCTCTTTGCACCTCTTTTTTGGTCTCACGGCTGTCCGACCTTGCTGGCGCCTCTCAGGGAGATAATGGTGCACCTGGCCTCTTGTTTATTGTCCACCTTCTCTCTTGACTTTTATGGCAGGAACAAGCAAGCGGGTATACAAATTATGGTTCTTGTCTAAACTAACATTTGAACTCACCAGCTATTTGTCTACATTATAAATTTTCTAATGACTTTTCTAATAGCCTTTCAATAGTTGCTTGCGAAGATCCTGACACTTATACCCATTGTGCATCAAGAAGGTGATTAGCTAAATCAGTCACCTTAATAAGTACTCTTGACTAGCCTTTTTAGTTGGTAATACGGAAGCAATAGGGGTGAAGAAGGACCCTCATATCAGTGGAATTAGTTAAGAGAAGAGCCTAGCACCCCAACTTCCTTTAGAGAGGCTCCCCAGTACTGAAACCCACCCACCATCGTAGGCTCTTGACAGCCAAATGCAGCCAAAATCAAAGGATCTCATAGAGGCTTTTACAACGAGATTTATTAGAAGAGAAAAGAGATTAGATGGCAGAAATCTCAGATTGAATACTTTCACTTTTAGGATCTTATGTAACTGAGTTTTCTAAAGAGAACTTACAGTGGGGCAAAAAAGTATTTAGTCAGCCACCAATTGTCAGGATCTACGCAAACCAGAAACTTCAATTATTTTACTTTGCTTTTATTACTAACCATACTTTTGCTTTTATTGCTAACCATAGATCA